ATATAAGATTCTTTAAAAAAAACATTAAATTTTTGTGTTGTTTGAATTTATTATCATAAAAAATTTAATATAAGTTTGTATAATAATAATAATAATTATTATTGTTGGATATAATGTATTATGATTATTGTCAAAAAGGAAGTAAAGAAACAAAAAAAAAAACTACGCACCAAATTCTGATACAAAAAAAATGAGTGAGTATATAATAATAGTTTGGACTGCGACCGATTCTTATGTATGCATGTTAGGATGTGTATACAGAAAAAAGAGTGACGATAATAGTTTTTGATTTTGGACAGATTCTTATGTATGCATGTTAGGATGTTTTAACGTGGATGTGTGTAAGATTAACAGGTAATGCTATAACCGACATCGTTTGAAACAGAATAAGTTCCTAAATTGATTTTTATTTTTCAAAATTTCCAAATAAAATTTTAGATTTATAATAAATCGGTTTCAGAAATATGGTATTGATTTGGCCATTTATATCATCAAAGTTCACTTATCTTTTTGGTCAAACTTCATGAGAGAACTCCATATTTAAGCATGTTTGGGCTAGAGCAGTTTCAGAATAGGTGTCCTTCTGGAAAATGATTGTCGGAACCGTTTGAGTGGGGATAAAACATGGGGAAAGATCGTGTGGTGATTTGTAAGGTTAGTAAACAAGTATTTAAAGCCTCTCGGACGTAGCGGAACAGCTGTTGGAAGATAATGGGCCCACAAACCGATAAAGGACGTTGAATCCATTAAAAGTAGCGGTCAGGGCGTTACAAGTGGTATCAGAGCCGAAACCCAAACGTGTGTGGATTCAAGAGAACTCACACCGTCGGGGTTGGTGGTCTTGATGCGCAACGAAGACGTTACGATATGTTAGTGGGGTGAACTGTAACCCTCTGTTTTCATAAATATGCTGGTGTATGTGGAAATCTTTCAAAAGAATCGATTTGGCGACCTATGTCAACAAAGTGCATTTATCTTTTCGCTCAATCATTCTGACTGAGCTCCCTAGTTAAGCGTGTTTAGACGGGAACAATTTCAGGATAAATGACCTTCCAGAAAGTGATTATCAGAACCGTGTGAGAGAGAACAAAATACGAAGAAAGATCATGTAATAGTTTTTAGGGTTGGTAAACAAAACTATAAAACCTTCCAAACGTAGCGGCCGGCCGTTGGTAGATGATGGACACATGAACTGAAAAAGAATGAATGGCCCATTAAAAATGGTGATCGGAGCGTTACAAAATTTGTTTTTGTATGACATTGTTTGCTAATTAACAAAAATATAATATTGTTTATTTGCTCTGTTTACCGAACTAACGATATGTATAATTAGAAAAATCAACAAAATTCATGATTTAATAAAAAATAACAAAAATTTGATTTATATTTGATAAGATATTTTATCAAATATAAAATAATTTTTTTATAACAAAGATGTACAGTTATAATTTGTTATGACATAATTGCATAGTTTAATATGAAAACAAAAGACTAGTCAACGGTCAAAGATGCACATAGTGATGATGATGAGTTTTGGGGTAAAGCGAAGAAGAACAAATTGCGTGCCGCACGAGGGGATCTCTCTGCCATTCTGACTCAGCCTCACATTTTCGTTCCTGTTTTTTTTTTTATTATCTATACTAGTATTTTTGCAATCACTTTTGAGTCAGATGAGTAAATTTATTTTCGGATATTTTGGATATTTGACCCGTTTACAAATTTTGGTCATAAAAAGTTTGTTGAGTCGGGTTATATTTACCTCAACTCATACACAGGATATTCCATATTTAATAATTTAGATATTTAGAAGATTTGATTAAGATTTACAATTATGATTCTCCTATCATCTTTGTTTGATTTGTTTTAAACTGTTTTAAATCATCATATAGTACATAAAGTAGAAAAAGAGGCTTTGCAAAAAAGCCACTTTTTCAATGTCACTTTTCAAAAATACCCCTTTTTAAAAACTTTATAAAAAATACTCTTAAAAATATAATATTTACCCAAATATGTATGTAAAATTATTAAAACATACACAAACTACATTTCTATATATCTAAAATCTTATAAATACTTTATAAATACCTTATCAATGCATTTTAAATACATTTACCTTTAACATATCTTGTAAAACCTTTTAAAAACCTTAAAAATTCTTTAAAATAACTTGTAAAACCTTTAAAAACACCTTATAAAACCTTATAAATACTTGGATCGAGTCTTCAAGTAGTAGTTACAATCCATAAGTACCTTATGAACATAATAAAACGTTATAAAATTCCAGATTTAAAAAGGGGCATTTTTTAAAATGGACATCTAAAAGGGACATTTTTGAAAAGGGGCACACCAAAAGGGGTATTTTTAACAATTTCCCAAAAAAAAATCAATTTTTTTCTGCATATACTGTGATTCGAAATTTTAAAAACAGACATATATTATCCAATTGACGAAAATGTGTGTTCAACGTTCTACATCGATTAAAATATTTAGAAAATGATTCAGAATCATATCATAAATAAGATCAACATTAATAAAATAAATGAATTTTTTGGCCGGACAGGTTTGGCGGGACGAGTTTTTGAATCAACAATAATAAAAAGATTAAAATATTATTAATCCGCCGCTTCAATACGGATTAAATCCTTAATTTTTTTTAATACCACCAATATTAGACATATTAAATGAATCTCATTTAGAAAAGAATGTATAAAACCAAAAATTGTCCTGTGGTATAATGTTATTTAATAACAATTGTAAACTATAAAATATAAATATCTTAGAAAATAATTCAATTTGCAAACTTTTATATATAATAAATAATTTTTAAATTTTAAAAATTACTACTTTTAGAAAACAAATTACGGGACGAGTTAAGAAGTTACAGGACGGGTTATATTTCGGAACGAAGTTATATGGTGGACGAATTTGAATCAATATTTATAAAATTTTAAAATATCATTAACATGCTGCTTTAATACAGATTAAATCTTCAGTTTATTAAAATATAAATGACTTAGAGAATGATAGGATTTGTAAACTTTTATATATAATAAATAATCATTAAATTTTAAAATAAAAACAAATCACAGGACGGGTTAAGAAATTACGGAACAGGTTATATTTCGGAAAGAGTTTATATGGCGGACAAATTTGAATCAATATTTAAAAATACCATTAACATGTCGCTTTAATACGGGTTAAATCCTCAGTTTATTAACAATTGTCTCGTGGACTCGTGGTATACCGTTACTTAATAACAATTGTAAACTATTATATAAATAAATATTTTATAAGGAGATACAATTTACAAAATATTTTTATACTAACTTTAAAAATAAATCATTCCGCGGTGTACCGCGGGTTAAAATCTAGTTATTATTAATATTACATGATACGAAATGATACGATTATTTATTTAAAGTACACTAAGCAAACGAAAATACATGTTGGCTTACTCTATCATTATTTAGCCTTATTTGTATTAATTTTTGTAATTATAGTAAACACAGACATATATGTTCATTTTAAAGGTTGTTTTTTTCTGAAACGTTTTAACAGTCTTTCGACACTATTTCCAAAAAAATGTGAGGATTTACACATGTTTATCTTGGATCCATCTTGGAAAGCTATTGAATATTTGTTTATCGTTTGTCGTTTTTATTGTAGGAGAAGTATGCTTATTTGTAAACTCCCATTAAAGAGTTTAACTGGTTAACTTAACTAATTCTTTATATATATACAATGTTAATAAATTAAACATGTAAAGCTAACTAGCTAAGTGATTAAGCAAGACTTTTAATGGTTGAGAGACAACTATTGTGTTTCCATTGGTTGAAAATGTTTTGGTTCTTAGTAGAACTTGTGGAACCATCACGGTAATTAAAGAGGTTGCCGCCTCAATAATTTCATAACAAATTAGCTAGTTTAGGATGAGCTAGTAGTTTGGATTGGGAGAATTATTTGTTTAATTTGAACAAGTTAAGTTATAATTCTATTTCAAGAAATCTAGTCAGTTTTGGTTACCATTATTTATTCCTTTGGTTTTTAGGATTGTTTGTCTTCGGAGTCCTAATTACTCTAATATTTTTTCAGCGAGATAAATTACGAAAGTAATTTTGAATATCAATGGATTTCAAGCAGGACAATCGTAGTTCGACATTTTAGTGATCAGAGATCAATGGATTATGAACAAAGATTTCAAATACTTCGTTTGATAATAAAAAACAGGAAGGAGCATAAACGATTACTTATTTGGAAAAAGTGGCATAAGCGATAAAAATTCAATTTTATTATACTTATTAGTCGGAAAAAAATAAGCGACAAATTAATAATGGGCCTCACGTTAAAGACCATTTAAAACCCGATTCCCGAAGCCCTAGGAGGGCTGGACAAATAAACCGAACCGAATGTACCGAACCGAAACCGAAGCAAAAAAACCAAACCGAACCGAAAATTTGAAAATAACCGAATGGATACTAAATTCTATAACCGAAATAACCGTAACCGAATCGATACCGAACCGAAATATTTCGGATAACCGAAATACCCGAAATACAATTATATTTTCAAAATAATTAGTTATTTATAGACCAAATAATCAAAAATACTTGAAAAATATATAAAAATAGTAAAAATACTCGAAAATAACTGAAATATATCCAAAAATATCTGAAAATATTCAAAAATAACCGAAATATCCGAAAATATCCTAAACAGAATAACCGAATGGATACTAAATTTTAAAACCGAAAGAACCGGAACCGAACTGAAACCGAACCGAAAGTTCAAAATATCTGAATGGATACTAAATTTTGAAACCGAAAGAACCGAAACCGAATGGACCCAACCGATAACCGAACGGTTAACCGAAATCCCAGGCCTAGCCCTCCCAAAAAACCCTAAACAAGTTTTCGTCGTCGGCTCCATTTTTGCTTCATCAGCTTTCTCTTCTCTCCAGCTCCGGCCGGTGAGCTCAGGTGCGTTCTCTGGTTAGCTTAGAATGTTCATTGAAGATTTCAACTCTCGTCTGCTTCAATTTCGATTTACTTCTTCTGAATTTGATATTTGGTCGGATAATGTGTGTTTGATTTGATTCTTGACAAGTTTCTGGGGTTTTGTCACTGGTTTAATAGTTGTTGTAATCTGTGAACACAGAGAAGCATTTGGAGAACACGCTTTGCATCTTTCTCTTTTTAGACAAAGTTAGATTGATTGTTACTTTACAGAATTTTGGGTTTTCTGGGTTTGTGAGCAAAATTGGCTTAGTTCATCTTTAGTTTAGAATAGTATAGAGATTAGTATAGATATGAAGGAAGATGATATCTGTGTAAAATATAGTTCATCGTTAGTATAGAAATGAGATTAGTATCATGAACGTTAGTATAGATATGAGATGGATTAGTATTTCAACGTTAGTATAGATTTTCTTTAATCATGTGATATGTTTGGTTTCTCTCTGCAAATATTCAAGCAGATATCTGTGTCTTCTTTTATTCTAATTAGCAAAGTTACTCCATGTGATAGCTTAGTTTCAGAGACTCTCATTTGAATGCTCTTTTTCTTCTGTATCACAATGTGTAAGAAGTCCATCTTCTATATTAGGAGACCAATCAGAGTATGATTTTCTCATTTCTCTTTCTTTTCTCTACTCTCTGTTCAGATGTGTTTTGCTGTGATGGGTTCTCTTCTCCAATTTTAATTCCTTGGTTTCAACAGTTCTTTACTTCTATTCAGTTACATGTTATAATTTCTCTGCTTAATTTAGCACTTGCATGTTGTAATTCTGGTCGTATTGCAGCTCATTGTGGAGGTTGATCTCAAGAATGATTCAGCTTCTATTTAACTTAAACTCTTTTAGTGTATTATCACCAAACCTTCAAGATGGTATAAAGTTTGTGTGCATTGATTTGCAGGATGGATTTTGAGTCTCAACTCTCAAGTCTACTTGAATTATGAATAACTTTGTTTCTGATGATAGAGACTCTGACTAAGTTTCACTAGAAGAATCAAAGAGACCTTGTAAAGCTACTTGATTTATAAATGATGATTGCTTGAAGATTTCTTCTAGTTTAGTATTGATAAGTTAGTGCTTGTACTGATTTTTGCTGTGTGTGTTTTTTTTTTTTATTAACTAGAATTTCATTTCCTTTGGCAACCAAGATAGTGTTGATGGCAACCATTGTAGCTGTAAGTCACAGTACCCTTTTTTTTTTTATATCTTGGAGAAAGTGTAAATTTGATATTCTTCTTACTGAGTTTCATGACTGTGTTTTTGATTGCTGTGACAGAATAAAGAATTTACGGGAAATCCAAGAAGACAACTGGCTAAGCTCTTTGATGTGTCTCTTAAATTAACAGTTCCTGATGAACCTAATGTTGAGCCCTTGATTGAGCCTGGCAAATTTGGAGATTACCAATGGTGCTCCCTCTTTCACTGAAATTAAAGTATCATCAAGTTATTTTCTGAGATTCTTTCAATATCATATTGTTGTCTGCAGTAACAATGCAATGGGACTATGGTCCATTATCAAAGGAAAGGGTACGCAGTTTAAGGGTCCTCCCGCTGTTGGACAGGTTGGTTTATTTGTTGGTTTGGTCTTTTAAATTTCGTGGCTGTTTGTGTGATATATGTTGTGAAGCAGAACTGATATCTCTTTTAACTCTGTTTCCTTTTTCACGTAGGCTCTTATTAAGAGTCTCCCTACTTCTGAGATGGTAGAATCATGCTCTATAGCTGGACCTGGATTTGTTAATGTTGTACTATCGGCTAAGTGGATGGCGAAGGTGATTGCGTTGTTTAGTCATTTTCTAGTCCTCGTATAAATAATTTGTGTTTGTCATGATTGTTTTCTGATCTATCCGCAGAGTATTGAAAATATGCTTATCGATGGAATTGATACATGGGCGCCTACTCTTTCAGTTAAGAGAGCTGTAGTTGATTTTTCCTCTCCCAACATTGCTAAAGAAATGCATGTTGGTCATCTAAGATCAACTATTATCGGTGATACGCTTGCTCGTATGCTCGAGTACTCAAAGGTTGAAGTTCTACGCAGAAACCATGTTGGTGACTGGGGAACACAGGTAGCTAGCTACTTTTCTTCCCTTCAAATGTTTTCTTTTGTTGTATTCCAAAAAATATATCAAAGTAATAAAAGCCGCTTTTATTCTGCAGTTTGGCATGCTGATTGAGTTTCTCTTTGAGAAATTTCCTGATACAGATAGTGTGACCGAGACAGCAATTGGAGATCTTCAGGTTAGCTGCTTGCATCATATGGCCTCCCAATCTTTACAGTTCTTCTGAAGTACCAAAATTGGCATAATATGCGTTATGTGAAAAACCAAAGCAATTTAGTTCTAACTTTTGATGTCCTCTGATAGATGTTTTACAAGAAATCAAAATTGAAATTTGATTTGGATCCGGAGTTTAAGGAAAAAGCACAACAGGCTGTGGTCCGTCTACAGGTAAATAACAAATTTTCTATCCTGATTCATTGGTGCATTCTTCTGTCTCTCAGTGTGTCAATATGTTACAAAATCTAAATCACTCACTTGTCCAAAAAATTCTTTGTTTCTTCTGTATAGGGTGGAGATCCTGTTTACCGCAAGGCTTGGGCTAAGATTTGTGAAATCAGCCGAAACGAGTTTGCCAAGGTGTACCAACGCCTTCGAGTCGAGCTTGAAGAAAAGGTAAAGGAATAGTTGGGACTTATACTAAATTATAGAGACAGAATGGGAAAGAGATATACATGGATGTGTAATGGAAAATACATTGATTTATGACAGGGAGAAAGCTTTTACAACCCTTATATCGCTAACGTAATTGAGGAATTGAGCAGCAAGGGGTTAGTTGAAGAAAGTAAAGGTGCTCGTGTGATATTCATCGAAGGCTTTAAAGCCCCACTCATTGTTGTAAAGAGTGACGGTGGTTTTAACTATGCCTCAACAGATCTGACTGCTCTTTGGTGGGTTAGCTTTATGTTATCCGGATTTTAGTAGCAATCCTTGGAAAAAACATCTCATATATTATGACTTTCTGTGTCTGTGTGGCTTGATTTGAACTTCCATATTGTTCGGTGTATTGTCTGATGGTTCTAAAATCTTCCTGGCCCAGGTATCGGCTTAATGAAGAGAAAGCTGAGTGGATAATATATTTGACCGACTTTGGCCAGCAGCAGCACTTTCATATGTTCTTCAAAGTAGGTTTCATGAATATGTTTTTCACGTCTTGTGAATGTTGTCTTGATTGAAACTGTCAGTCGTAACTGTGGTTATCATGTAACTCTGAATCAGGCTGCCAGAAAAGCAGGCTGGCTTCCAGACGATGATAAAACTTACCCTAGAGTTAATCATGTTGGTTTTGGTCTTGTTCTTGGAGATGATAACAAGCGATTTAGAACTCGGTCAACAGAGGTAGTCCGCCTAGTTGATTTACTAGATGAGGCCAAGGATCGCAGTAAAGCTGCCCTTATTGAGCGTGGTATCCAACTTTGTGTCAGCACTCTCTAAATTGCTGTACTATTCATTGTTCAGTCATTATATGGTCGTGTTCATCCCGTATATGTTGTTTCTCTGTTTAGGTAAGGACAAAGAATGGACACCCGAGGAGCTGGACCAAACAGCTGAGTCAGTTGGATACGGTGCGCTGAAGTAAGTATTAATCTCTATTTTACAGCTGGTACTGGTGATAGTGAATTTTATTTAGTATCTTCTGGTTTTCGATGACTTTTGTAACCAAGGCTACACAAATGTGATAAATGACTTGATGTTTTGTTGAATTTGCTTTTAAGGTATGCTGACCTGAAGACCAACAGATTGACGGGTTATACTTTCAGCTTTGATCAAATGCTTAATGACAAGGTACTGGAATTTCGGAGTTAAATCTACATATTTTGCATTATGGAGTCGTCTACTCATGCTTATTGAATATTTTGATCATGTAGGGAGATACAGCCGTTTACCTTCTTTACGCCCATGCTCGGATCTGCTCAATCATAAGAAAGTCTGGCAAAGACATAGATGAGCTGAAAAAGGTATTTTAGCAGCATGAACTCAAACAGCTACCTACAAAGTCTGTGTAATGCCCTGTGATTCTTACGTTTGAACACTTATTTTTAATTGCAGACAGGAAAGATAGCATTGGATCATGCAGCGGAACGGGCACTGGGGCTTCACCTACTTCAATTTGCTGAGGTAAAACAAACAAATGCTCATTAGATTGTACTTTCATATACTTGGTAACGAGAAGATGAACAGTTGTTGTGTGAACGATTTACTTGCAGACGGTGGAAGAAGCATGCACCACATTGTTACCGAATGTGCTGTGCAAATACCTTTACTACTTATCTGAAGAGTTCACCAAATTCTACTCCAGTTGTCAGGTACTTGTCTATTTATGCCTAATAGACCCACCATTGTTTTCATCTTTCTCTTGAACTTGTTTTTTACAGGTGAATGGTTCAGCAGAGGAGACAAGCCGTCTCCTACTATGTGAAGCAACAGCCATAGTCATGCGGAAATGCTTCCACCTTCTTGGAATCACCCCTGTTTACAAGCTTTGATACCTCACATCACAATGAAACTACCTTAATGGCTAACTGGTGACAAAGTCTTTCTGGATTCTCATTCAGCGTTTTGTACTGTAGCCGAGCAGGTTATTCTGTCTCATGTCATTGTTGTACTGATCCCAAAAGGGTTCTACGATTTTTTTTTATTATTATTAATTACTAGATTATGTAAATATAAAACTAAAATATAATCATTTTAATTTTAAAAGATTTTAGTTTTATCATGTGCATTATCTTTCTAAAATATTAAAATATTTCTCACACATTTCACTACAATTTCTATCGTTATCTTATATGATTTACTCGTCGTCTCTCTAAATCTATTCTCTATTTATTTAATACTTGCTTACATATAATATATTCGACTATGTTTAAAATAAATCGTATGTATTTCCTTCTTCTTATCTTTCAATACTCCATTGTTTTTTATAAGTTGCATGATCTTTTTAATTAAAGTTAACAAGAGAATATCTAGGGAAATTTTATTCATAAAGTTTTTTTTACCATGTTTTGGTTTATTTAAAATTTGTCTTATCGACAAAAATTTCTCATATGTAAAATGTAAAAAATATAAAATTCTCTTTTCACATATATAGTTTGGCGTATATTATGATTTTACATAGTATTCTTAATGTTAATTTTTCTCAAATGTGTAACATACGAACATATAAAAATTATTCTACTTTAAAAATAAGTCTATTTTTTTAATTAAAAAAATTCCTTTTTATTTATAACTAAAAATTCTTCCATTTCCAATTTCCAATTAAAACTATTCTAATTCCCAAATAGCATTCTCAAATATTATTATTAAACAGTTTTATTATTTAATTAGATTATTTTATTTTTATTTTTGATTTTAGGATTGTTTTAGTTGTATTTCAAATCACGTTAATTTTTCCAATCTATGTTAATTTCATAAACACATATTAATATTAGTTTTTCTATTTTAGGTATTCATTTGTGTTTAGAAAAACCTCCAATTTTTAATTTAGAAAATATTAATAAAATAGAAAAATTTATTAATTGACCTATTTATATTATATTAGAGTTATAAATAATTATATGTACTCAATCCTTCTTATTATTTAATCGGTATCATGATGTTAAATGTGAAGTTTTAGAAATGAATTACTTTTTATTTTAAAAGCCTTTATTTTTTTTTTGTAATTCTTATTTTTTTTTGTCAACCACACATTTATTAAAAAACTCTTTGGTTAGTTACCCAATTAGGAGGAGAAATCTTTACAAATGTAACTTCATAAAATAAAATTTTAGAGGAATGGGCTAAGCAGTCCGCTTTTAAATTACAAGAAGGAGAAATAAGAGATAGCGAGAAAGAGGGAAAAGAGACACGGAGCAGACCAAACTCATCGAGCAGGTTAGAGAAAACCGGCCATTCATCAGGAAACTGTACCATCGACACCAACACTGAACAGTCTGTCAAACGCCTGACAATCGATCCTTCTGGAAAGGATATTCTTTATACCCCAAATTAAAGTTTCCATCTCCGAGTGAAGGGGGGAGGGGGACCTCCTAAGGCACTTAGCACCAATCAGTATCGTTTGAGCTATCCCTTGAAAACACCACCATCCTAAACCCATAGTTAGATCCAAAGATTTCCAAGAGTCACCAATCCGACAACGTAATGATTGGATTGGGCTTTCCAATATTTCTGTAATATTGCTAATTTCGTTTGGTTCCATCTGAGCTTCTTCCCACATAAATTTCTCACTTAAAGCTTGATTTAAAATATTTGAGGGGTCTGATTGTATTTCTTTAAAAACTGTTTTATTCCTATCTTTCCATATGAACCACAAAATCCAAGCAAAACAGTTGGTTCCCCTCCCCCCCCCCCCCCCCCATCCTGAAGCGATTTGCCATATGAAATGTTTTATTTTCGGAGAAGCTTTCACTTTCCAAGCTTGTGCTTGTAAAATTTTATAAGTTGGGCCCCATTCAATCGTATCTATCAACTTTCGAGCAAGTCGATATCCTGACTTTACTGTATATCTCCCTGAATTTGTATGATACCAAGTAAGCCTATCTGGTTTATAAACTTGATTAATAGTCAGTCATCTAATAAATTGTATGTCCAGCAGATCCAAAAATTCTTGTAGAATAGGAAGGTGTCATTCTTTAGTAACCGGATTAATTAAGTGGTTAACCATCATACTTGGAAGTAATAAATTAACTCTTATTTTTTTATTCTACTAAAGTATTTACTCATTATATGTTAAGATATAATTATCTAATTTTATATTTATCTTTCTATTTAAAATTTTCATATTTTGTGTTGTATATTTGTTCTGTTTTTTTTCATTTTTTTTTTGTTAAATTACAGTTTTTCTTTACCAAAATATAATAATATAAAATGTGAGAATTAATTTGAGTTTTAATGTTTTTTGTAAGATAAAGTGTGTGAATTAATTTAATTGTAATGTTTTTGTTTTAATAAATAAAGTGGAACCCTAAAAAATATAAAATATGATGACATGGATGCTGATGTGGACACCCTGATGGAGAGAGGACTCTCTAATTATATATATATAGATTGTTCTGTTTTTTTTAATATTTAATTGTTTTTTTTGTTAAATTACTGTTTTTCTTTACCAAAATATAATAATATAAAATGTGTGAATTAATTTTATTTTTTAAGTTTTTTGTAAGATAAAGTGTGAATTAATTTTATTGTAATGTTTTTATTTTAATCAATAAAGTGGAACCCTCAAAAATATAAAATATGATGACATGGATGCTGATGTGGACACCCAAGATGGAGAGATGACTCTCTAATTATATATATAGATTCTTATTCCTATGTTATTACTACTATATTTATTTAAAATCTAAGATAACTAGACATGTCTTTTGATTTTATTAAATTTTGCTCCTAGTTTCAAAATTTAGGTGTAGCAGCTTTATTCAATGTTTCTTTCTAAAATCAGTTTGTTGAATCTATATTTTATTTTGAATTTGATTTTGTTTAGTTTTAGAAAATGTTGAATGCCACTTATACTAAAATGTCTAAAAACATATGTTTTCTTAATACCTTTTCTCATGATTAAACTATCAATTTTTTATAATTGAAACATTTAAATATATTTACTATAGGCCTGTCTTCATTAT